GAAAACAATGGATATGAATTAAGAGGAATTACATTTTGGCTGGGGATCAAGAAGCATTTCTTTATGGTAAGAGCTGTTCAGCAGTAGAACAGATTACCTTAGGACAGTGTTTCTCAACCTTGGCCACTTTAAGATATGTGGACTTCAACTCCCAGAATTCCCCAGCCACATATCTTAAAGTGGCCAAGGTTGAGAAACACTGTCCTAAGGTAATCTGTTCTACTGCTGAACAGCTCTTACCATAAAGAAATGCTTCTTGATCCCCAGCCAAAATGTAATTCCTCTTAATTCATATCCATTGTTTTCTCTCCTGTCCTCGAACATCTCTGAACAATTCTGCCCCATCTTCTACCAACAGCTCTTCAGATACTTGATACCATGCCTCCCCATAATCTTCTCCCCTCTATGTGAAACACCCCCGACACCTCCAAATGTTCCAGTTAAGTTCTTCCTTCCAGGCCCCTTAACGCCTTGACCTCTCTCCTCTGGACATGCTCCGGTTAGTCAGTGACCTTCCTAAAACACAGTGCCAAGAACCAGAGGCACTATTCTAGTGCAGTCTGACCAAAGCAGAATAGAGAGGAGCAGTGGCTGCCTTTATTATTTATTAAAAAATTATAAAGGTGGGATAAAAAATCTAAAAAAAAGATTTTTTATCCCACCTTTATTGTTTTTTATAAATAACTCAAGGCGGTGAACATATCTAATCCTCCTTCCTCCTCCTATTTTCCCCACAACCACCACCCTGTGAGGTGAGCTGGGCTGAGAGAGAGGGACTGGCCCAAAGTCACCCGGCCGCTTCTTCCTGCCTTCCCTTGACGGAATCAGGGAGCTCACCTGCTTTTGGGGAGAACTTCGTCACACTGTTGGCCCGTGGTCAACCTGTGATCCACGAAGACACCCAGAGCCTCTTGGCTGTCCCTCCACAACGTATGTTTGTGCCTTTAATTTTTTTCTACCCAGATGTTGGGTATTGCACTTGTGCCTGCTGAATTTCAACTTGCTGGTTCCTGCTCCTTGTTCCAGCGGTTACATCCTCCTGAATCTTGTCATGGCCTTGCTCTCCCCTCTCTCTCTAAACAAACAACTCATGAGAACGGTTCTCTTCCTTACGATGTGGAAGGAAACCGGTCTCATGAGTTCTTTGTTTTAATCCACAAAGACCACATGTTGCAAATACAAGCTGAATGCTCTCCTGGGCACTCAGGGGAAGGAGAAGGGATCAGGGAAAACCTTTCCACCACCCAACTTACCATGGAAGGTGGATCAGACCCGGGAAGTGCTTCTAGAGGCAGGAGAGTCACAAGAACTCACCCAGAAGATAGAAGGCAGGTGCATAAATAAAAGCACCCAATAAATACATGAATAGGACACGTTATGTGACTGTGTCTGGAAGAACTCGAAGTCTCCATGCAGGAGCATGAACGTGATTTGGGAGCCATTCCTGAGTGCGGGGATAGAAAGGTCCAACTTATTCAGAGAGGCCTGAAATGTAAAGGGAGCGCGGGCATCTTTAGAGATCCAGAATCTGAGCAGGAGGGTTCGGCCAAGAGCTTCCGGGTAAGGACACCAAGAAGGGGAAACCACAAAGATTGATCACAAGGATATCATAAGCCCTCCAACGGGGCAGAAGATCTGGACCAGTTTACAGCACTTTCAGAGAGGAGAGACATAGTAATAACAGGAGAGTTATAAGTCCCTTACAGAGAGGGATTTCTTTTTTCCCTTAGTCCTGCAGACCTCATTCAAGATCTTGAGGAACCCTGTGACTCCAGAGAATCCAACTGAAAACCTTGAAGTAGGTGACTTTGTTGCTTTGAAAATCACACACACAGAGTGCACATCAAAGGCAAAAGCGCCCATCAAATTACAAGTATGAAGTGGGTGCCGCAAGGATCACTCCTTAGTCCTGCACTCTTCAATATTTCATTACTGTTTGGGATGAAGTGGAGGGAGCTTATTTTGGGGTTAAAAAAAGGAAAGCAAAAAAATTACACCATCCCATTTCAGCAGTGCCATCTCAGATGTTGGTTTAGAGATTATGCTCCAGCCAGCTGCTCTTTTCACATTTTTTCTGACTGGGAGTCTTAGAGGGAGTGTTGGGCCAGAAAAAGGGGCCACAACAGAGCTCCACCTCCCACAAATTAAAAATGCTGCCATCCCCAGCTGATTACGAGCTCCCAACACAAGGACCCACCTTCTCAGGAACCAGCAGCAGGTTCTGGACAGGTTCCGGCTTCTCAAAGAGCTGGATCTCCTCGATGATGTGAGCCTCGTGGCCCACCACCACAACCTTGTGAAGGAAGCCTTTGTCTGCAGGGGACGAAGCACAGATCGTGAGCTGCCGGTCAGAGGAGGGGGGCAGAGGGGGGGCTCCCACTCAGCCTGCCCCCAATCCAATGATTTTGGCCAAATTTTGAGAGCAAAGGAGATCTTACCCAAGGGGTGGGTGGGGGCGGGAGATGAACTTACAAAACAAGCAGTGGGTGACTCCTAAGCAAAGAATGGTGGGGGGGGGGTCCTCTTTTCTTTCTCAAGATACACATTTTTATTCTTCTATTCTCTCCTTCTGGCCGCTTCTCTCTCTTCCCCTCCCACAGGGAGCAGGCTTTGCAAAAGGATAAATCACTCTTGCAAAAGATCTCAAACCATCGCTGGCAATCAAACGAACGAAGCCAATGGCCACACGTGGCAGCTTGCCCACCCTGGTCTAGGATGTCCTTGGCGATGTCTGATTAAAAGCCGGTGTGCTGCAGCTTCAGTGCCAGATTAGGGCTGGGAAGGCCAAATTTCAAGACCGTCCTCTGCCACAGCAGCTCCCTGGATGACTTGGGCCAGTTGAGAAAGAAGTGATTACATTCACTAACTCAACTTTGAGATTCAGTTCACATTCTTTTGAAGTTTATTCCTATCACGTGGGAGTTGACATCAGGACATGGATTTTCTGCACCTTACTTACAGCTAAAAGACCTTGTTCAGCCTCAGAAAAACATATTTATGGCTCCAACTATCCAGTGGTCTGCAGAATTGATCAACGCAGATTAGCTATGGATGATGTAACGGATTACGGCTTCCATTCACTGAAATGTTTATTGCGCAATTTTGTATATGTACGTGAATATATGCCCCCTATGTTTCTGCTTCTTTTTTTAACTTTCTTTTTTCTTCTTTTATCATTTTGTGGATTCTTTTTATCTTTTGTATTTAGCTGATTTTTAAAAAGTGCAAAAAAATCCCAAAGCCAACCCACTGCAGCTCATCACCCAAGGGGCAGGGTTCAAAACATCATTCCACATTTGACAAGGGTGGACGGAGCCATACCTGTCCCCAGAAACAGGACCGTGCAGGGAGCCCCACAGGCCTTCTGAGTTTGGTGAACTGTAATACGGGTGTACTTCACGCTGTCCTTCACCAGCAGAGGTTGGTTATTGATTGGTGCAACCTTCTCATCCATCAAGAAGTGGTCCTTCATGAAGGTGAGGGCTTTATCTGAAGAGGGGCCAACAGAACACTAGGGGGAAAAACAACGTTTGGAAAGATCGGGAGGGAGTCCTACCGCTCAATTTCGCTGCTCTCCCGGGATCTGGGAGCAGGTCACAATCGGCCACCGGGCCCTCCCCTTCTGTGCCGCTCCAACACTTTGCCACTCATCCCCTGCTGGCCCCCGTTGGCGACCAGACTGAGAACACAGAGGGGGCACTCACGCTGCCAGGTCGGGGCTCCATGGCCGGGCCACTGTAGGTCATCCATCGGGAGCAGTCCTTGTTCAGCTCTTTGTACTTCCCATCAAAGGCCTTTTGGATGGCCTCCAGGCTGAAGGCACAGACCGCTGAGCTGCCAAAGTTCCCGCCCTGCCTGCAAGGAGTAAACAGGCCGGCTGCACCCCTCGAATCCAAAGCATGCTGCGTGCTCCCACGTTCTTACTCGGGCAGGCTGCGGAATCAGGCCTGGGCCCCAAGGGCAACCTCTGCCCCCTCGCCAATCCAGCCCTCTGTGCAGACAGTTCCACCCCCTTACCACTGAGAGGCAAAGACCCCGTAGAAGAGGGTGCCGCCGCTCGGCTGCGGGAGAGCAAAGACGTGCTGGATGACGGTGTGCGGAAACCGCCCTTGCTGGGTGCAGGAGAGCTGGGCTTTCAGGAAGGTGGTCCACTTCTTCTGGAGCACCTTGTCTCCTCCGACGTCGTTCTGCGGAGAAAGAGGAAGCAAAGACCCGCTTATGAACTGGGCGACCCAGCTAGCCTTGGTTGGGTTCACACAACGTAGTAGAATTAAAATGGAGGTGGGCAGTTTGGGTTTCAAGGGGTTGTGGGTATCCCGCCCTTGTCTTAGCATTTTGTGTGAATCAAGCCATCACCTTAAGCGAAGAATTTACTGGTTTGAGCAGAACATACAACGTGAACCCAGACCTTGTTGGTTGCCCACCCAGGCTGACGATCTAGCCCAGTGTTTCCCAACCACAGCAACTTGGCTGGGGGGTTCTGGGAGTTGAAGTCCACACTTCTGAAAGTTGCCGAGGTTGAGAAATACTGGTCTAGCATATCGTGTGAATGCTAGTCCATCTATGTTTTTGGGGAGACCTTCCCAAAAGGACAAGCAGCCTACTTAAAGGGTGCCCCTCAGCTCCCGTCCCCACTGGCTGACCGTATGGAAGACATCAACTGCCTCAGACCTGCTCACCGGCCACAGGTCCCCTCCCTGGCAAGCGACTTGATGGCGCACCTCCTGGAGGCCACTGGTTGACCAATGTACGGGTCAGCCAGGCCATCAAGGCATTTCACACCATCAGTCAAAAGGTTTTGGACTCGCTTTTAAAGCCCTATTTTTATGAATTCATAGCCTTAGCATTCGTTCCTTTTTGTACTTAAACTTGTTTCTGCCTCAATCACCATATGGGAGGCTTACATCTTAGGGTTAAAGTAACAGAATAAAAATAATCCGGAGGAGGACAACCACCACCAAATAGCCAAAACAAACACAGCATGCTGGGGGAGGAAACCCACTTGGCCATAATCGGGGATAGATTATCTCCCCTGCACCCCTCCAGGCCTGCTGAAAGGGCAGCTTTTCGTAGCTTCACAAAAGCAGAGCAGGCCTCAGAACGTGGTGATGCCACAGGACGGTCACAGCTGCTGAGAAGGCCGGCGTCCTGGGTCCACAGGATGACACGCTCCGTGCAGTTTACACGCCCCACCCGAAGGCGTGAACGGGAAAGGACGGCCATCCTTCGTGCTTCCTTCATTCCAAAGAGTATTTTCCTGGGACTGAACAGCTACCGGGGGAGCCTACAAAAGGCAAGCTTCCTCACACAGGTGCCAACAGGTGTGCTGAGCGTGCCCACAAGTCCTCTGAACCACCTTTTCCACTTTGGATCCTTAGCTGCATATCTCTAGAGCAGTGTTTCTCAACCTTGGCAACTTGAAGACGGCTGGACTTCAACTCCCAGAATTCCCCAGCCAGCATGGCTGGCTGGGGAAT